CTCTGCTGCCGAAGGCACCAGCGTAAAGTGAACGTTTCCCCCATTGGCTTCTCCCCTCCCCGCTCTTCTGCAGCTTCAAGGGAACCCCCTCCCACACAAACTGTGGCATCAGCATTTGGAATGGGAGCAGGCTGGGATAGTACCTGTCCATGCTAACTCCCGCTCTTGGTTCTGAGCCCATGCCTTCCTGCTGCTGGCTGCTCCGGAGGCAAACCCCCACTGATCACACCTGTACGGCACACACAGAGATTGACACACATGGAAACTGGCACACACACACAGCATGACAGCCATTGCCCCTCAGGGCCCCTCGAAATCAGCCACGAGGTGTCACCTGTCTCACACCATGCCAGGGCTGTGCCCTGAAGCAGGGTGACCCTAAGCCATGCCCTCTGAGCCACCAGCAGTGGCACCATCGACTAGCCTGGCTGTGGCGGCCCTGGCCAAAGGTGCCGCTCTTCTGCCTGACAGGTGGTGACCCTGGCAGAGGGGCGGCCTCAGCCCAGGGGTGCCATTCACGCTGATTCTGATCTCACTCTGACAAACTCTGTCATGATGCCTGTGGAGCTGTGTGAGAGCAACACCCACCTCAGCATTGACAGACAAGGGGACAGGGCGGGGAGCCTCTTCCTCATGAAGGCCTCGTCCTGTATCAGCCGGTAAAAACGGCTGCGGCGTGAGGCGCAGGGGCAGGTGCTCCTTCTCCACCCCTCCATGCCATAGTGCACCAGTGCTGAGCTTCACCAAACAAACACACCTCAGGAAATCACACTGTGAGGCAAAATTATTCACTATCATGGACGTGACTGAAGAATGAGCAAAATTATTGCAACCGAAATATCTACTTAATAAGTTAGTTGCTTGCAATGAGCTTTTATTCCCCTGCAATCAGTTTTGCCTGAAACACCAAATACTCATCTTCCCTATAAAAAAGCCCTCTGGCAATTTACATTTATTAAAAGTCTCTATTTTTGTCTTCTTCTAGTCACATAGCTTGGATCATCCACATGTCTTCTGATTAAAACCCTGAAAACACAATGTCCAAGACTCTGGGAACACTCTGTATTTGACTAGCGCCAAGTGGAATGTATTACTAGATTACACATATGATCTTCGTTATCTAGGATATTTAGCCTTTGGCACAGGACCCCTGGAAGATAACATGCCAGAATCACTTACTGTGCACTGGGAGAAGGAAGAGCAGCCTCTCTGTGAATGGCATAACACTACTTCTACGTAGCGAAGGGGAGAAAACACCTTGGAAACTTGTGAAATCCTCAGTTTTTATCTTCCACTTTTTCAACCATAAAAGCCACATAATAAAATTGGGTAGGGATGACATTTTAGGACCTTCCTTTTGGGGTTCTTTAGAAATTTGTTCAGAAAACCTTTTAAAAAATATACTTCAGGGTTTTTCTGAACAGCCTCTGCTTCCAGCTTACACCAAAATAACATCATAAATATGCTTCATGGTGTAAAAGAAGAGTTGTTTCATTTTTAGTATTTTAACACTTTTACTGTGTAGAGACACAGATCTCTAAATGGTTGTGCAGACTCAGAAATTGTGAAATTATATTAATAAATTTCAGCATGTAAAAATATCACTTTCAATGATCTGGTCAGGTGTGCAATAGAATAGGGGAAGCTGCCAGTGACTGCAGCACATAGTTTGGCTGTCCCAGTGAAATATCTGAGATGGAAGTAGAAGTCTGACTACACAGACCAAAAACTTGGGTTTTGTCACAAGTGAAAATTGTTTTGAGGGACAGCAGAACAAAGGCTGAAAATCTGACTTGCAACAAATCTTTATTATTCTATATTAACTACTTTGAGATGACAATACCTGATGCTTTAAATCCAGGCCTCAGACATTTCTGTTTCAAGCCTGTCATTTGTGTTGCACTGAACTATATCATTAAGTTGTGCAGGTTTCATTAAAGGACACCAAGAAAAACTAAGAGGAAAATTACAACTGCAGAACAGGTCCAGGGCCAAATATAACTAACCCAAATCCTTTGCTGATTTTATACACATTAATGGAGTAAACAATCAAATTAACTTTTCCTGTATCTGAGAAAAATACCAAAAGCTTACTTTTCCAGTGTATTTCTACTATAACTTTGCTCAAAGTTCTTCCAAAGAGGACATCTGATGATGTGGAACAGTCCTTACATGCCTATTCATCACAATTTTGTGATGAAAAAGAAGCTGTGCAGAAAAAAAGGAAGAGAAACAAGAACAGGAAGCAATGGAATAGGCTCCATATTTTCACCTCTTGGGTGTAAGGGCCCAAATTCCACTATAATAGCTGTACTATTTACTATGTTCCTCTGCTGCCTGCAGGTACAAGTCAAGTGAGGCAGGGATTCCAGCATGACTGGACATCCGTGCATCAATGTGCCACACAGCCATCCCATAATTCTTCTGCAGGCCAAATATCTTGTATCTATCTTTATATGGCTGATGTGCCAAGGTAAGATTTGTCAGGAAGGCTGAACTTTCATTAAACCAAACGCTATAGCTGGAGAAAACAAAGACAAGCTTTTAAGCACACAAGATTTTCAGATCTGCTTTTCTTTCAGGACTTGATAAGAGGACAATGGCACAAAACAAGCATCTGCTATTTCCAGCTAGATCATCTTGCCTTGGTCACATCCTTATGACAGCTACAATAACATCACCACTAAAAATCCTTAATCCTCTGAATGCTAAATAGACATCTCCAGATGTCACAATGGTTTCTTTGAATAAATAGCATTAATAAACTTTAAAATGCCCCAAAGTAAGTCTGTCCAAAGCAGATGCCAATGCATTTTATGAAAATGCTCTGTATATAAACCAGGGACACCTGACATATAAAGTGGTATAAAAATACAAACCGACTCGGCTTCTAAGTATTTCCTGCCCTTTTAAACTTTGCACTTGTTCATTAATTTCAACAAATATTGAGGTGAGCCAGCTGCTGAGGTGAGAGCATTCAAATAAACCCCTCACAGATGTTTGTTAACTTCAGATAGGAGCTTTATTATCTACAAGTCATTAATCAACCATTAACAAGTAAGTGTTATGGAGTCCCAGTATTAAGGTTCACTGCCAGAGAAGAATAATGGATTTTGCAGACTGGCTGTGTCTACAAGAAGGAGAACTAAGAGCTGAGACAGGTCTGAAGTAAAACATTTGGAGGAGATTAGAAAACATGAGAAGTCATTTTGTTGCTCTTCAGCTGTCCTTCAGAGAAAGCACTTCACAAGAGTTAAGCATTTACACAACAAACTGAGTGGAAAGATCAAACTCATCCATCAGTTCAGTGATGAAGAGGCATGTGCTTTGTACAGCCAAACAGGGAAGTCAGGCACAGGTGAGAATTGCTGCTCCTGTGAACAATAATAAACACCATCCAAAGTGTCACACTCTAACTCAAAGACTCTGAAGCTACAAAACCACCTGCTCTGACTTCAGGGTCCTCAGACTTCAGACCCAGAACCTCTCACAAAGGCCACAGACTTCAGTTCAAACCAACAGGAACAGCTAAATTGTTGCATGCCACAGACAGAGGACAGACATGATTGAGGCAGCATCCATCAGTTATTAAAGCAGCAGGGTCGGTCAGGTAGGCAAAGCGTTGCTCTTACTGCAGAACAAGGCAACAGTCCTCTTCACCACAAAGTTTCTGCCAACTGGCCTTAAAAAAAGAGTCCTTTCACAAACCAGAAATAATTCTGATCTGGGCTATACAAGCAAGACATATTTACGCTCCAGAAAGCGTAAAATTCTTAGGTGAAAACACACATACTGAGTGTGTATCACACTCGATGCCTCTCCAGCTATCTCCAATTTCTGATACTTACGGAGCAGGCAATAAAACAAATTAAAAAGCAGAACTAAAGAAAAATGTTAATGTCTGAACCCCAGCAGGCAAATGAAATTTGCCTCTCCTATTTTGCAACTCTCACTTTTTTCACAGAGTACTTTCACAGGTTTCTGAAATACTGTGGAGTTCTACATGATATCAAAGCAGGTACTAGTTAGATCAAACACAAACAACTTTCCTAAGCTCTGACTTCTTATATACTGACTACTTAACACACCACAGAGTAGGAAAAAATATTCCTTACAAAGCCATACTCTAATTTCCCTCAATAACATTTCTTCATAAAGAGCAATACACAGCTGGAAGCATTAACAGCCTGCCAGATGGTTCACTTCTCGATAAACACTTACATTTTTTAAGTTTAAAGTCTAATGAACTGTAGTGCAGGGAGACAAAAGTTACGCATGCAGAGTGGTTCAAATGGCAGGTCAGGGCTGGGGCTGGACAGGGGACTAGCTCCATAGAAATTCCCATTTCTATGGCAGTTTTACATTGGCGGAGGGAGGAGGAATGGCTGATTCTGGCAGAGGACAAGGACAAAAAGTGCTGAATGCTTAACACCCACATACTCAGCCCCACAAGGGCTAATACTGGACAGGAGAAGGCTTGATCACCAGATCCTGGTCCACAGCATTGTCCTGAGTCAGCAGGTGCTTCCAGATCCCTGGAGAGCCTGTACCATTCAGCAGGCAATGACAAAAGAAACTTAGCTCAAATTAAATTGCACAGTTCCACAATAAACAATCCTGAGTTATGCCTGGCACTGCATAAGCATACAAGGCAAAAAGCAGGGAACATCTTCTTCTGCCCATGCCACCTCCCCAGGAGGCACTCACAGCCAGTCACAAACTATTTACAACTGAACAGCCCAAATGTCACATGCCCAATTGCAAACTGCAGAGCAGCTTTGCCCACCCACTTGGGTACAAACAGCTTAGTGTGGCAGCACTGGGGAAACCCATGAGAGTTCTGTCACATCTTTCAGCAGGCTTTATAATTGTGCAGCTACTAAGCAGCATGAATTGTGTTCAACAGCCTGGCATGGACAATAACTCAAAAACATTTCAAGTTTTGAGAATGAGGCTGAGAAAGTACAAAACAGTACAGCAAGCAAAACTCACTGACTCACCTTGAGGCCGATCTAGATCTGCTAAGTGCTTTGACAAAGATCAAAGATGGTGCAGACTGGCGTCTCTGGGCCAAACTCTTCATTTTCTGATTGGAAAGAGAAACAAAATGAAACCACAGGTGAGATTTGGAACAGTAATTGCATGCATACAGAATGGTTGCAGCCAGACTTCCATTTCAGACTATGGGAAAAAGGCTGAGTTACTGCCATCAGAAACCCTCGAGGGGGAAAATGGTTGTAAAATATCACCTTTGAGAAAAACAGGAGCATGACCAGAAAGCCGGTGATAAAGAAAAGCTGATTATTAGTGTCTATACACAGATACCTGTGGTACACTGCACACATGAAATAAACACCTAAAGATGGTCCTCAACCACTTTTTGTCCCTTAATAATTTATTGTACTTTAAATTTATCAATTTTCCAGAGAGTGGCTTAAATTTCAAGTGTTTCATACATTTCTATGTCAGATCTGACATCTACCATAAATTAAGGTTTGGAATCTATGCACCTAACTTTACGTGCTATATTGGGCTACCTTTTTCTTTTCCAAATCTTCAGAGATGAGTGCATTTTCCTTCTCTGCTAATCTAGCTGGAACATTATATCTTGCCTAGCAGTAGCCAATCCTGACATTTTTTCATTCCTGATTACGTATGGGAAAAATAGGATAGTGGGAGGCAGGACAGTTGTTAGCACAGAACTAGGAAGAGACTGAGAAAAAGGAGACACTCAAAGACAGAGAACGCAGCATGAAAAAAAAAGACAAAGCACAAGGAAAAGATGCAAATATCAGTAGCTAACAAGAGAGCATGGATTTCTGTTCAGTGAAGTTGAACACTACAATAAAAATACTGAGGAAACAAACAATACTGCTTTCCCCAGAGGTAAAAAATTTCAAAAGCATCCACAGGAGACAAAACCACACATTTCCCTGAACACAAATGTATTCACTACATCATATTCACTCTCCCTCCTGCAGCCAGAAGCAGGACTGAGTAGTCCTGGCCCTGATCCTGGAGCTGCTCTCTTCAACAGGTTGTGCAGCCTGCTGCCGAGGTGCCTGACCTCTCCTCTCACTGACCCTCCACCAGAAGGGTGATTGTTACCTTATTTAGCTTAAATACTTTTCAGAATAAACTGGTGAACAAAAGAACTGGGGTCAAACTCCTCCTGAGATGCCAACAGGGCAGTATCCGATGCTGCAGTGGTCCCTTACACTACCCTGGCCACCACCCACAAACCAGGTGAACTTTTAACAGTCATGTAGTCTCTGTTCTCAGCTAATCGCAAAGCATGACTTTCTTCCTTCATCCTAAAAATAACCACTGACTATCAGGAAAAATATGTCAGAACAGTCAGAACAACTGATTCTTCTGCCAGTGTATGTGCTGGATGTGGCACACATTTTGTTTGGGCAGGTGCACAGCGTGCTCCCCTTGGAGAAATTGAACTCTACAGTACTATTTTACTTGCTTTTGACAAGGACATTTCTTTTATTGACTGCAATGCATCTGTTATTGTGTCATTTTTTTTTGGTTCTCCCTTTATTTATGTAAAGCACGCTTCTTTGTTTTGTCAGATACTCAGTTATAGCTATTGTGCAGCAATTGTTATAAATTCAACCATGTAATTTCAATTCACCTTTAAAAATTATCCCCTTCTCCCTATTTGATCAAAAATTAACCTTCTCAAGACTGATAAATTAAGTCTGGGAATATTTAGCTGTCTCAGATCAGATTATAACTGGGTAACAGCAGATTACTAACAAAAGAGATGCCCATTTTTGATAGATTTGAAATAAACAAAAAATAAATATCCTAATTTTTTCTAGTGAATGAAATCAGTTTGTCTTACTGCTAGCAAATCTGAAAAGCTGTTAGCAGTTTTAAAAGTAGCATAGCTGCAAATATGAAGGCAAAAAGAAATCTGTTTAACAATGCAGTCTAACATCCTACAGAAGATCAGCCACATATTTCACACAACCAGCAGATTTTAGGAGTTTATATAAAGCATCGACTCCCAGTGGGAAATGTATTGTAATTTACTCATTATTGGGCAGGTGGCTTTTGGGGGGATAAAAACTGGAACATCTCAGGTCCTGCAAATGCAGTGAAAGTTTGTATACTTTCAAAGAGATCTTAATTCCTCTGACTTCTCAGGTCTGAAAAGAAAGCAGCATTTTAAAATCTATGGCAATTATGGCAATTCTTTTCATGCTTGGGTTAGCAGTGCTGAATAGTGCCTGTGGCAGTGAGATTCTAGTCTTGACTTAAATGTCTGAAGACAAAGGTGAAGTCTAGAACTACAGCACGTTTAATAAGAGCTCAAATAACTGGCAGAGATAAATCTGTTGGAAGACATTCCAGGCAGTCTGTGATCCAGCCTCTCTGAACTTGCTGAGAGCAAGACCCATTTGAGCAGGCTGCTCTGAGCCACTGCTAGTCCAGGTCTGTATTACCTCCAAGGATGAGATTCCACAGCCTCTCTGGACAAAATCTTAGTACAGCTATTAAGCAAATCTTAGGAGAAAAAAAAAAAGCGCCTCAAAACATAAAAGGATCACTGCAAAACTGAAGTGAGTCAGGTCAGCTGTATGCATATAAAAACATTACACAGAGACATTGACTACAGACAGAAAGGGGTGATTTGTTTTTATTTTGCTATGTACAGAGTTTGGGAAGAGAAAATAAGTGACCATCATGACAACTTAAATTCATTTACTTTGAGAAGGAAGAGGATAAATTCATATTTGGTTAGGTTGAACCAAGATGCCTGCTCTCCTCAATTTCACTGCCTTTACATGCAAGGATGGCAATGTGGAGGAGATACATCCTGAACATCTGTAGTAAGAGCAGATGTTTGGAAACAAAAGGAGATGCAATGACCAATTATCTAAGTATGGGACACAGAAGCATTTCTCAACATACGTCCCACATCATTACCTCCCATTTTTTCATGTAAATATTAGAAAGGTCAACACCAAGAGAAATCCTCATACTTGCTGGCTGAGTCACATCCATGTGAAATGTATCATAAAATCAGTATCAATAATGAATGTTTACAGTGTGCTACACACAAAGATGATAATCTTGTATCAGACAGGACAAACTAGAGTTATTTTTGTCTTCCTCACATTCAAAAGCTTGAGTTCCTGCCCTCTCCCCTCTGATTCAGGTTTAACTTCATATTTTCTGCATTTCTGGTGGTGGTTGTCTTGACTGCTTTTTAACAGAAACAAAAAAGTTTTGCATTATTAGTTGTTGGACTGGCAGTAGTATTTGGCCACTTTCTGGTATAAACAGACACAGGCCTATAGATTTCAAAAGAATGAATTTACACCAGATATTGATCACACCTACACTCTGAAACACTGTTTCATAAACTGTGATGAGCAGATCAGCCCACCATGCTGAGGACAATAAGCTTGCAAACCATCACTGAAAATATGCTATCCCTCCTCAAGAATCAGAACATTCTAGGGATTACAGCAAAACTTGCATAAGTATCTCACAAGTCATCAGATGGAGGAAAAATCTATTCCTGACTGCCAGTATTCTGCCTCGCAGTGGATAATGGTACTATATGGAATTTACATAAAATAATATATTGTCAAGTTATGATACTGATTTCCATTCTGTGAAAATGGTAACATAGAGCAGCATCTTCACGAGGAGATCAAAAGAACTGGAACTGTCTTGCACGTTACATGTATCACTTAACTATATCACGCTTATAAAGAGAATTGCAGAGCATGAATTAAAGAACGCGTTAAAAAAAATTATTGGTACTTGCTATTTTTTTGTGAGGGCAAATAACTGAAGTAACACATATATAGTGTACGTAATATTTTCAAGTATTTAGAGGAGTTAAAATCTGTACAATAAGCGGACACCCTGCAGCAGCTACCGCAACCATACAGGAGATAGGAGCAGGCAGGCTAAGGCAGGGATTGTGTGCTGTGGTTCCCCAGGAGCACACTGCCCACGTTGGCAGGTTTAGATGCCTGACCCACGCAATGGTCAGACACATGCAGGAGGATTCCTCTCACTCAGCCTCTGACTCACACACCTGAGCTATTTGCCCTGTGCTCCTTTTTGAGACAAGAGAGAGAAAAGGACACATTTAGGGCGCAGTTCATCTTATCTTAGAACTTTTCCTTCACTGACTGTAAAAGAAAACTAAGGTGACCAAGAAAATTGAGTTAATCATCTCAATCCTATTGTAGCTGCCTGAGCAAAGGACAGGGAATGATCAAATCTGTGAGCTCAGTAACACAGGGAACAATTGTCTTCTTGTTTTGAGTTTACGATGAGAAAATGATGTTACCTGATATCTATTTAAGAGACTTATACAAAACAGTTGAAAAAATTATTTAGTTCCTGACTGACAGGTAAACATTGCAGAAATGCCTCCTCAGCAACGTGCAGATAACCTTGTTAAAGCCTCATCAGACACTAAAGGATTTCAGGCCCCTGATTTACAGGCTCACACCAGAAGTGGGTCAAGGCTGGGACATCTCCTGGGTCATTTAACTGGTTGACAGGGACAACCCTCAGATGTGCCAATGCCTTGAGCTGAGGCTCAAATGGCTAAGCTCTCCCTTTCACTGATTTATTTTTCTAATGAAAGGAAGTCTGATTTTAACAAAGCCTACTCTTTAAAAGAAGTATCTGAATTAATAACTGAGCAATTTCATCCATGCAAACTCTGGTCCTGTTGTCTGAGCAACCAACCATATCTGTGGCATGCATTTCTGGTTTAGCTAGACATGAACCAAAGCACAGAACACAAATCTTTACTAAAAACTGTGAGGCAAAGTTCAGCTAACAGCCTCAATCAAAAAATCAAAACAACCCTTAGCATATATTCCAGGACAACTGGGCATCACTCTTTCCCCTGTATCACGGGGCCACTTATGAGAGGCAATATATATTTTTTTCCTACATACTATAATCCAGTATTTGTTAGACTCACAGAGTAGGGTCGTCTAAAAATACCAAAAATAATAAGAATGTCTTATAGTTTGGTAAAGCAAGAAATAGACCTATACCGACCTATAACATTCTCAGGCCCTCATAAGCAGG